TTTTATCGCTGATGTAGATGGGTATGTCCACTACTCTTTCATTTGAGTTTCTTCCTTGTTTGACTTTGAAGTTTAATATTTCGATTTATTTATTTTGATATTGGCAAGAATTAATGCGTTGCTTATATGTATTTACATTAGCATATACGCGATGTACTTGAGGAGGGGATCGGTCTCCCAAGGTTTTTGTTAAGGGTCGTGCCCTTTGTTCGGACCGCTTGGGTCTTAAATATATTCGTCCGTGGCCACGTTTTAAAATTAACACCTCGTGAAACAAATAAAGGGACTCAGATAATCCAGCTGGCCAGGCTATATGGATTGTCTAAATCTCTCTAAGTGTTTATAGGGTGGTGTCGAATTAGATTCATGATGAGATGTAATTTGTATCGATGTGAAGGGACAGAGAGTAAACTGTAAATCGTGATTTATTCGATGATAGCAAAGGAGAATTGTTACAAGCCTATGTGAGGCGAATTTAAATAAATAGCTAATGCTATGGGCCTACATGAGGCGAAGGTAACTAACTACTACTAAAGCAAATAAATTGTCTTGATATAAGAAAAAAAATTCTGAGTGATTGTGCTACACATGTTCTTCTTCCACGTCTTCCTTGTATGCATTCGTTTCGCTGTGCTGATGGTTGGCTGAATTCCTTTGGCGTCTCTATGCCTGTCAGGTATAATTGAGGAAAAATGAATTTTGTTTAAGCATTTGTATCAAGGACTTAGTAATTGTAGCTAAGGTGATGTGCATTGTCAATTCACATACCCTAACACGGGGATGGTTTTCTTGCTCGCACTTCGAGATATGAAATCAATTCGTGAGTTGCTGTGGTTTGCTGTGTGATTGTGCCTGTTAGATGGAATGATTTTGGCACGTTAGTAAGAGTAAAAGAAGGCATGCATGTGTTGTAGTCTAGTGGAGATATTGTTACCCTTGGCGATGTGGTATGGGGCGGCTTCGCTCTTTGGGCCATTGATTGAGCAATATGCGTCCTCTCGTAATTGACTCTTACTCTGTTAGAAGATGGTGAGATGTGAATACGAATTGATGATGTAAGTAAATTTACTAGCCCCCCAGTTTAAGTGGGACGTTCACGCACCTCGTAATGTAGTAGAAAGTTTCCCAAGCATGTAGAGACGGTTTCGCAAGATGAGTGACGTGGA